GCGGACGTTGTGACAGCCGCATGCGGTGAGCTGGAGGGACAAGCGGGGGTTCCAGACAAACATTCGTACAGCTAAACCGTATCGGGCGGCTTCCAGACAGCTAGGCAGTGAGGCACCAAGGCCAGGCCCAAGGCGGTCAATCTCCAATTTCTCCATACGGATGATCCACGTGGGGCTTGCTTCGCTTATCGATAAGTGTGATAAGCCATCCGGTGGTTGCTGAGAAAATCGCAGGAAAAGGCGTGAATAGTACTACTCCGTACATATATTACCGTTGCCATTGTGCTTGTTCCTCTTTCATCTGTGGTCAATGTATCTCTGAATTCGAGCGTACAGATACTGATAGTGTATACAAGTTCCATTTAAGACTAGCTACAGGCCGATATGACTCTTGTATATGAGGCAGACAACAACGCCAGACCAATTCAAACTCCTTCCCATCGCGCGTGAAATGTCAACGGCCCATGGTCGTCTGAAAGACCTTGGCTGCTAATTCACTCAAAAGCCTTGCTCGATCCGTTTGAGGAAGCTGGAGGAAGACATCGTAAACGCTTTTTCCTTTGGCATCTCGCACTGCACCAAGACGATTGCCAGCGACTGCGCCAGCCAATGCTCCAGGAGCATTAGCTACGATGAAACCGAGAGCTCCACCACTAATCCCACCTACAACGGACCAAAACCGAGATGTCGGGTGTGAACGAGTCTGACCGTCAGCATCTGTGCCTTCGCTGGCAAGGCCCTCTTCACGCAGCATTTCTTCAAACACCGACCCGAATTGCTCATTTGCACGTTGCTCACTATCAGCAGTGCTAGTGCCAAAGCCAAAAGCGGACCAGGGAAATCCTCCTGCACCTCCACGGGGCACTTCCTCCTCTTCCTCCTCGACACCGCCTGCCATCCTCATCGCATCATACTCCCGTCGGCGTGATACATCTGACAACGTGTAATAAGCATCGCTAATCTCCTGGAACTTGCGTGTCCGAGCCGCCCTCTCTGGCGAGTCGACGGGGACTCTGTCTGGATGAGACTTCAAAGATTCCCTACATAGTTCAGAACGGAGCATGGTCGCAGCATGATGGGCATTGACTCACCTTTTGTATGCATTGCGAATCTCTTGTTGTGTCGCCCTGGGAGATACTCCCAGTACCTTGTCTACATTTGGCATTGATTAGTTCGGACACTTTCTATACAGTATGTAGAAGTTGGCATTTCGTACAGTAATCACGTTGTTCTAATCCACAGTCAGTTCATATGTTAAAGTCATAAAACACATTCGTGCAAGCTTACTAGGCATGTCTAAATGTCTCTATGTTAGAAGATGTGCCGTGCTCCTAACTCAGATGGTGAAGAGCCAGATGAGTGTAGCTTCATTCGTGTCCAACTCTTCCTAAGAGGTCATGACTCGGCGGGGGGAAGATGACGTCGACGAGGCATTTATGCCTCAGGCATCAGGAAGCACGGAACGAAGGTTCGGCCTTTTCCAGCGACTCAATTCTGACTAAACAGCAGAGACGGGAAGCCCCTGAGGGCAGCACCAATCATGGGGATGGCGCCAAAGTTAGGACGCCCGGAACCACTATCACCAGCCACTCGTAGAGAGCGCTGTACGTACGCTGCAGATGCTAGCCACTGCTAGGAACACACTAAACAGTAGGCACAGTTCGGTGTCTAGTGATGGTTTTCAGCTTTGCCTCCTGCACAGACGGGGGAGTAGTCTCACCTAATCAATCCCCTCCCCCCTTCATTTCATTTAACTTCCCTCACACGGCTCGCCATGCTACTTTAACCCTCTCAATTGCACGCCTTTTAGGAGATTCAAAGTTGTCTATGATAGATCATATTTGCAGTCACATTCAATTGACAGCAGTGTGAACCACCCCAGTTTGTGACTTGTACAATATCCGCACCGCGACCTAGTTGTGGAGCTGGCCAAAACGCCTGGACCTCAATTGTGTGCATTTGCAGCACGCTACGACTCCGCAATAGCGCGATTGCTTTTTACAGGCTTCACCAGCACACAATACATCCAGAGGGGTCATACTTTCGTGCTTCCAGCCATCTTTATCAACTAATTCGCTTGGGAAAGTACTGTGTTAGCATTGGCCGAAATTTCAAATCTGACCCTGCCAATAAGTCGCTCAAGCACCCATATATTCAGGAACACCGATTCAAGATGGGCTGGTTTGATGGAAAATCTTCATCCTCGTCTTCCCATCACTCTCATTCCCGCCGACGTTCTTCCCCCTCACGACGTTCCACTTATTCAACTCATCATCCTCGTCACTCTGCTCCCTCGATATTCAGTCTGAACGGCGGTGGTAGTCGTGTCGGACGCACCAGCCCGTCCGTGCTCTCTTCGTCCTCATCGCGGCGCGCACGGCCCCGAACAGGCTTCGTACAGAAGGTGGTTCGCGCCATCAAACGCTTGCTCCGTGACATTTACGACTATGCGCGTCGGAACCCGGTGAAGGTTCTCATGCTGGTTGTCATACCGCTCCTCACGAGTGGTGTCCTGCAGAAATTGCTCGCCATGATCGGAATCCGACTGCCAAAGGGGCTTTTTGGCGGGAACTCATCGAAGCCCAGTGGCAACAGCATGTCAGACAATATCAAGGGCCTCATGAACATTGCGAAAATGCTGATGTAACTACCGAGGCATTGCTTTGCGGTCTGTATTCCAGCGCTTCTGCACTTTGATGTATGAATGGGAATATCAGCGAGAATTAGTCAGAAAAGATAGACACGACACGATCATGATACGACAATGACGATACGACGCAAACTTGACCTGATGCTTCTTGGTTACGATGTCCGTTGGCGGTTGCGGGTGAATCCAAAGAGTCATGTTCCCGATATGTTTTTGATATTTATCGTTTACGGTGTTATGCAAATGTTCAAGTATTTAGACACGAGTTCAATGAAACGTCCCCACGGCCTTCTCGCCTTCAAAGATATTTTTTGGACACCAAACATTATTTGTACACATGGCAATGGCAAGAATTGTTCGTAAGCTCTTTGGGGGGAAAAGCATCGAACCACAGAGAATATTGCTTACCAAGTAAGCGGGTTTCGCTATCTATGTCGGATTCTTTACGATCTCTGAGACCGCTTTCCCCGCCTCCTTGCCTTGGAAGGTCTCGCAGAGCTGGCGGTGCCTTCAGTCGAATCCTCCACGACTTCGGAAAGCTCCTCCTCTGACTCAGCACCGCTATCCACGGCATTTGAAGTGAGCAACCTGCCAACCGTCTTAGAGTAAACCCAGCCCGGCAAGCGGAAGACCATCGTGTCACGAATTGTCGGACGCTGAATCTCATCGACGTCGAGCAAGAATTCCTGACGCTCGCCATCTTCTGTTTCCTCCTCCAGGAACACATTTCCAAGAGAGTCGACAATCAGTACCTTCCCATTCTCAGCAATCACCTTCTTCCGCTCCCCGGTGGGCTCCGTCTGAGGCTCGGAAGTGGGCGTGGCCGTTCCAGAGTTCCGGGATGTCGCCCGGCCACCTTTCTTGCCCTCTTTGCGGTTCTCCCTGTCCATCATGCGTTTTTGGCGACGGTTCATAGGCATAGCATTCTGTTCGGGCTCCGAAGCCGGTGCCGGGGTTGGGGCAGGAGCTGAGGCACCATCAAGACCGGGGATACCCCGGACACCAGATTCATCACCCCAGGCAGCTCTCCTCGCTTGACGGATGTAACGATCGACGAACTCCCGCTGGCGCTTCCAGCCCAGCACCAAAGCAGCGTAGTGCGCACCACCACCAAAGACCAGAAACAAGCCAATGAGCACGGATCCCAGACCAGGACGGAATCGCGAATAGTAGTAACCAGTTCCCTTCCACTTGGGGAAACCATTCTTCAGGAAATGGTCGTAGCGCTCGCGACCGGGGCCACGGAGGATATTGGCGACGGTGTTGAGGCGAGCGGAGCGCTCATGAGCCTCCTTCACGGCCGCGGCGATTTCACGCTTCGAAGGACCATTGTTGACATGGACACCGGACTTGGAGGACTTGGAGCGAGACTTGTCCTTGGAGCTGTTGGCGATGAAGGACCGCTTGACTTTATCAGGATGCAGAAGTCGGGACTTCTGACGGTAGGCCTTGCTCAATTCGTCTTGGTTGGCGTTGGGTTTGGCGCCGAGAAAATCTGTCCGTTTGGAAAAATGGTCAGTGGCGGGGGACTTTGGAGGTGGAAGGGGAATTTGTTTGCTCAGGGGAAACGTACCGTAGAATGTCACATTGGGACCTTCTGCAGCGGCGAGTTCGTCATTGATACGGAAGATTTCATAATCTGGAGAGTCGCAGAGATTTAGTATGTGGGAATAGAGAAGTTTGCGGGATGAGAGAACTGACCTTCTTTAGTCCAAGCCGCGGCCAGAACAATCAGGGCTACAAACGCAAACAGACGAAGTGCGATAGACCTCATCGTGGAAGAAGGGAGCGGTCAAGCCGCTGGGACCTAAAGCGAATGAGAAGAGAACGAATGAAACAGAATGAGCAGTGGAGAACAATTGATGCGCCAAACAAAAGACTACATGCAACTCATGTTCATGATTCAACAAGTGGTGAAGTACTTTGTTAACTTGTTCTTCCTCCAGAAACGAGATAGGTGGAATCCTCAGGCGACGATACCGCCAAAGCAATGATCTGTCATCAGGCAGGAATGGCGTTACGCTTACGTGACGAGAGAGCTAGGCCTAGAATGGGCAAATCCGGGTTCACCGCCCAGATCGGTATGGAACGCCTGAAACGGAATTACGGTACGGGTCCAGTGGAGTCTGCAGCTGCACGACGTGGTCCAATAAAGGATCCAAGGCCAGGTGAGGAGAAATCGAAAAGAGGAGATAGGTAGATGGAAATGTGATTGATACCTAATGTTTGCAGAAGTGGCTATTCCAACTCACAGGCTGGCTGGCAGTAGAGAGAGGGGGGTGGTGGTTGGGACAGCTGGGGTTTAAATTCGAGACAAGTCCCCTCTGGCAGTAGTGTAGTGGATAGTGAGCGAGTTACTGAGTGCTCTTCTTCCTCGAATTACCACCTGAAATAGGGCATATCAGGCATGGAATTGGAAGAGCAGTGGAAGATGATTGAGGGGAAGTGATTGGGATGGCTTCCTTGAGTAGTCAACCCTCAAGAGTGATCGTTCTATCTCTCTCTCTCTCTCTGTCTAGATCTCTTCTTCCGCATCCAGCTTCGAAGGGTCTGTCTCTCTACTCTCTCCACCCATTGCTGCCCTGCTTTCTATTCTTAGCGGGCCTCATCCACCGTGTGTCTTGATTGGATTCGAGGGTCCATGAAACCGGAGCAGTGACTGGAGCAGTGTGACTCAAGCGTCGGATCCAAACGTGCCTTGTTTATTTGCCTTGCCCTCCATTCATCCGATACCTTATAAGAAGCACCCGAATCCACTTGTCTTCACAATTAACCTTCTTTGTTGCTGGGCGGTACCTCTCAAGCCTGTTACAAGGCGGATCGGTACCTGGAGGGTACTTACTTCAGTTACTTTGTCTGTGCTTCCCGCCTGGGACCGCCGGGGGGGGAAAACCACGAGAAAAAAAAATACCGAGACCAGTACTGGAATACGCCTAGACTAGTTCGGTGCTTCCAGGCTGCCAAAACGCCTCGTTGGTTTTGCTTTCGGGCCAGCTAAGCCGCTTCCAATCTTCCTCGACAAAAACATTCCCCGGTCTCTCTTCTCTCTCGGTCCTTCCCCCTTTTCTTTACTGCTTTTACTACACCTCATCTCCATCGTCTTACCGTCTTCAGTCTTCTCACACGTATCACTATTTTCCCGATCCAATTCATCTCTTTCAATTATCTTTCTCCTACCTTATCTTACAAACTTCCCCCGAGTCTCCAAAAATGCCTCTCCAGATCCCCATTGATGCGATTACCTCGCGCTTCGGCGAACGGTTCAACAGCGTTCGCTCTCAATCCCTCGGCACGCGCTTTGCCAACCTGCGTCCCATCTCCGAATTCCTGGACATCAAGCGTGTCTCCAAGCCCGCCCACTTTGGCGAGGTCCAGAGCCGTGTGAACTACAATCTGTCCTACTTCTCTAGCAACTATGCCGCCGTCTTCGTGATGCTCAGCATCTACAGCTTGCTGACCAACCCCCTGTTGCTCTTTGTCATCATCCTGGTCACCGGTGGTCTCTACGGCATCGGAAAGCTCCAGGGTCATGACCTGGAATTGGGCTTCGCCCGGTTCAACACTTCCCAGCTGTACACCGGACTGCTAATTGTCGCGGTGCCTCTGGGATTCTGGGCCTCGCCCATCTCCACTGTGCTCTGGCTGATCGGAGCCACCGGCGTGACTGTCTTCGGCCACGCCGCTTTTATGGATAAACCGATCGAGAATGCTTTTTCCGAGGAGGCGGTCTAGGTGGTCGGCCGCGAACTCCTTACGGTATGCCCCGATGGGGAAGACCACCGGGGGCACGAGTGGGGAGAGAAAACAGACGTGCAGCTCCGTGGGTGGACGGTGCGGCACGGATCGAGGAGGTTGACAGCGAGGAGGAGGGGGATGCATACGCTCGATCGGCGTATGCGAGGCATTCGGCGGGTCGGGACGAGGGTGGAGGGCCTAGGTTGCGCAGGCGGAAGATGGATTACGATGATTATGTGGACGAGATGAATTCGATTGATGGGATGGACTATGATCTGCGTGAGGACATGGACAGCACGGTGGCGTATGCGGTTCAGCTAGCCATGAAGGACAAGGAGGAACGGTTGGTGGATCAAGCCTTGGAACGGATTCGACGCGCTCAAAAGCAGGGCCAGAAGAACGTACGACTTTCGAGTCGAGAAATGGAGGCGCTGGAGCGCAAGCGCATGCAGGCAAACCGGACCCCTGATCACGACTATCGGAATACAAGTCCCCAGGTTTCCCCCGGTGGCAGCCGATCCTCGAAGCCGCCGGACAGCCCCAGCAGTAAAAGGGGAGCGCAACGGAGGGGGTCCAATGCCTCGACAGCGAACAAGCATAGCGTGCCCTCACCGTTAGCCGAAAACAACGCTGCCTATGCGTTCTGGGCCTGGACCTCGGGGGCCTCTGGCGGGTCCCCAGCTTCTGCACGTTCGCCATCTGCCCGCACGCCTACAAGTCAAGCACCGCCTCGATCCCCTCTCCAGCCAGCTTATGCCTTCGATCGCCTGGCTTCCGTCCCTCAGATTCGCACACCGGTGGGCGTGAAGAGTCCCTCTGTGCGTTCCCTCCCTGACGATCCACAGTGGGGGCCTCCATACCCTCCGCCGTATCCAAGAGAACCGCCGCCGTACCCGACCGATCGTCGACGCCCCGAGCCAACTCCATACATGTCAGGCTACCGCAGCGTCTTTGACGATTCTGCGCGTAGCAACAGGCGAGGTGTGAATGCTATGCCGGGGGCTGCGACGGAGGGGCGTCTCAGCGCAGAGGAAGAAGAGGAGGAAGGAAATAGTTCCGATACCAGCGCCATGGTTGAGCGCCGCGTGGCCGGCAGTACGCCGATACGGGGGCCAATCGGGCGAGGCAGTCGACCCCGGAGCAGTCGATCTTGAACCCCCGAATCGTGCCCTTTCATAACGTTGCTTTCTTTTCTATCATGGGCGGCTCATGTCGCAGCTGATTTAGCTTTGAATGTTTCTTGCGTGGATTCCCATGGTTGATTGTCTTGCGCGTATAAAACGTAATGGAGTTCGTCTAGAGCGGGTACCTGAAATGATACAACTATTGATAGTGATGATTTGTTGTCCAGATGATCATATTAGTAAATGTTAGTAATGTAACGCGTAGGGAGGTCCCCAAGTAGTAGATCAAGGTGGCAGTGAAGTATGTATGTATCCCTGCTGACGAGGGAAGCGAGACGAACTCGTGATACAGTTCATGCTAGTCACCGTGGCTGGTGGCGGTTTCCGAAACCTAAAACTGACTGACTGACTGACTATAAGAATTGTATCGACTGTATAAGACGATTCGAGCAGAATTGTGTCTGCCTAGACTACTAACTGGGCAAGTAGTAAGTAAGTAAAGCAAGATGAATGTATGTTATGAAGGAACTAACTAGTTAGTTGATTAATTGGGGCCTGAAATGCGAGGAACCGCGGACCGATGACGTCGATGAGGTCATGGGCACATTGGCTGTGCAAAGAATGCCAATACCAGCTTCTGCTTTGCTTCCACTCTGGATTTACTTTGCAGAGCTTCCGACCCAGCCGGCAGTTCATTGGATAGACTTTGGGATCTACTATGTAGACTACTACTACTCTTTCAGCAGTGATGCCACTCTCCTGGCCGGTGGGCCCTTTTCGTCGTCACCATCTGGGCAGTTGCGCGTTAAATTAAAGACGGACTCGGTCTCTCCACCGACCCAGTCTTTTTGCTCTTCTTTTCCCTTTAGTCACTCTTTTATTCCTCTCCTCCTCTCTCTCCCCCTCGCTGCCAATTTCACCCTCGTGTCGTCGGTCAAGGTGTCACCAAAGCAGTCAACCGCCGCCTACTTCCCTCTTCCTGCTGACCCTCGGGAATCCATTGATTGACGACAAGCCACTTCCGCCCCTTCCGGTGCACGCGTTCCACCCGATCGCCCATCGCTACATCCTATACTACCTCGATCAGTCTTTCACGGCAGCTCTTCTTTTGGGCAGCAACGGTTACTAAAGTGCCGCTGAATTGTTGCGCTTGCTCGCGGAGACATTTATTACTTCATTGGAAGAGGGGAGGCAATATATAATTAATCTAGCAAAAATGTGGATTATATCATTTTGGATATTTCCGATTATCTCGGCGTGCACATGGATTGGTAGCGTCTTTCTCTCCCCCCCCCCCCCCCGCCTCTATACAATTGCGGGTCAATTGTTCCGATAGAGACTGACAAGTCCCCTTCTAGCCATGTTGATTGCGATGCTGGCCACCTGGGCCAGAGAAGGATCGCCGATATATGCTAGTATGGAGACGGGTCAGACTATTGCGTAGGTGTCACGCGACCTTGGATCTGGCATGCGACTGCGATGCTGATTGTACACCTTTCGTGGATTTATAGGTATATTTCCGACATTGGAGCACAGGGTCTGAAGCCGCTGTTCATTGCGGGCAGCTGCGTCACTGTCGTTTTCCTCGATCTCTCTTTCCTGTCAGAACGCTGGTTGCGACATGCGGGTCAATTGGTCCCGAACAAGGGCAAATTCGACAAGGCCTGCGCAATCGCGTCCATTTGCTTCTCGATTGCGGGCGCCTTGGGATTGATCCTCCTTTCGATCTTTGATACTCTTCGTCATCCGAATATGCATGATGGCTTTTTGATCATGTTCTTGTTAGTATCTCATTGCGCATTCGAGGAGAGAAACCCTCGAGGCTGACATATCTGCAGGGTTGCATACTTGATTAGCGCCATTCTCATTTGTGGCGAATACTGGCGTTTGGGGATCTTCTATCGCTCCCAGCACCGAGTGCTCCTGGCCAGTTTCATTATTAAGCTCTCATTCGTCATCATTGAAATCGCGCTGGCCATTGCTTTTGGTGTCCTCGGCAAGAAGGGTGGTCATTACCGGAACGCAGCGGCAGTTCTGGAATGGGGTGAGTGATTAGTAGATGATTTCCAGCAGATATAACAGATTGACTAACGGAGGACAGTGATTGCGCTCATCTTCACGTTTTACGTCCTTTCTTTCGTGATCGACCTGCTGCCCTCGGTGCGCACGCGCAAACATGTGCCGCAGGGCGAGAAGGTGTCCCGGAATGGACAGACGACAGCGGCCTATCCCGATGGCACATACGATTACGAGGAGCCCGTCACGACGGACTCGGCAGGGCCAAATGCTAATTACTACCGGGGACAGCGGATATGATTAGGCCCTTTTGAGTGGGCTGGGTGTGAGAAATGGTTTGACTATTTTGGAACGATATTTAACGATATATACCCCGTGGATAGGAGTGGTTGTATAATGGAGCTGGTTTGATTGATATATTGTTAGTATGGCTGATGTTGATGTCTCTTGGTACCTTTTGTTTGGATTTACGATCTGCGAACCTCTTTGCACATATTGATCTATGACGTTGACTGTATAGTACGTGCCTAATATCTGGATAGTCTGGATAATGTATGATCATTGAGAGTAGTAACACATACATACATCCCCCGACTTACTACCAAAGATGTCATAATAAAGCAGACATGATTACAATATATCATCAAGTGAGACATCATCTAGACCTAAAGAAATCAAATCTACCTATACATCCACCCCTTAAATAAGGATACCAAAGAAAACAATGTAAGAAATAAAAAAAAAAAAAAAAAAATAGATCAAGCCAACAACACCTCCCTAATCCTCTCAATCTGCTCCCTCCCCACCCCAACCGTCCCCAAATACCCCTGTACCCCACCATACCTCTCCTCCAAATGCGCCCGAATTGTCTCCACAAAGTGCCGCGGACACTTGGTATAATCCTCCGACAACCCCAACAACCTCACCTCCTTCATGCGCTCCTCCATCTCAATGACCAACTCGCCCTCAGAACGGAGATAATCCTCCCTCATCACCTCCTCCGGCACCACATCCGCCACAAGCAGAAGCAAAAGAAGGATGATAAGGCCCGTGCGATCTTTGCCTTGCGTGCAGTGGATGAGAATCGGATAGGCACTACTACTATCCTTATTCTCATTCTCATCGCTGCCATCTGCGGGAGAGGTAGAGGTAGAGGTGGATGTAACCGAAGAGAACAGATCAAATAACGTCTTCATCTCCCCATAACTACTATCCAATGTATCCATGCCTAGTCCGACTAATCCCCGTGGAGACATGACCTGCTGTCCGACTATTTGAACGGCTGCGGGGCGGTAGCCTGATGCTACTAGGGCTAGAACTTTGCTGTATTTTTTTTTTTTTACTTTCTTTAGTTTCTTTTCATCTCTAAATGATTGTGATTGAGGAATAAGGATTTTTTTGAGGAGAGAGGGTGGGAGAGGGGGGGGGGACGTACAAGAAATTCCACCAATCTAACCGCCACAGAAGCGTCCGCTCGAATGCTTTCCCTGTTAAGCTGACGGGGAAGCGAGTGACGGTGGGTAGATCGGGGAGGTGGATGTCTGTTGATGTTGCTGATGCTGTTGGTTCTGGTACTGGTGCTGGTGCTGGTGCTGGTGGTGTTGATGTTTGTCTTTCGGGTGACTCTGTTGATGATGTTGATGATGATGATGATGTTGATGACTCTGTTGAAGCAGCAGCAGCAGCAGCTAGTTCAGCTAAGCGCTTGTTGGTGGCTATTTGGTGTTCGGTACTGTGTCTTTGTCAATATGAAGGTGAATTAAGAAAGTTGAAGAGTAGAATAATACCTCGATCTCAGATCCACGACCGTTGAGATATGGAATTCGTCTACAAGACGGCGTTTGTCGCGCTCAGAGGCATCGTCTAGCTTTAACGTAATTGGGATGATGTTAGTATGTATTCAACCATCATATACAGAATATGTAAGAGTGGTAGATGTATATATATACCCTTGCACTTCGAAAGAGGATACCCTCTTTCAACACCCTATACAATGCTATCAGTATACAGCATACGATATATCATATGAATAAAGGAATCTGTATACCTCTTCCCAATCAACTGGTTAATCGTACGCCCAACGTCCCGGAAATTGATAATGTTGTCGAACGGACGGCCCGGAGAATCGAGATCTACGCTCGATTGGCGGGGATGGGAAGAAGACATGATTATCTGTCTTGTTCCTCCAGGATTGAATGTAATTGAGAAGACCTCCCCCCAAAAAAAGAGAGCTATATATATAATACAATTGCAGTGTCCGTGATAATCCTTGTGAAGATTCAATGCAGGCAGAATAAGGCCAGATAAAAAAAAAGTAGGACAAGAAGTGTGATGACTGGGAGGTCCGCTGTGATAAGTGCAGAAGTGGGAAACCCGAAAGGAAACGAAAAGAAAAGACAAACAACCGCAAACCGGGCAGTCAATCGACCTAACGAACGGGACTAAGCATGCAGGAATCCCGTAAGATATCTTGACAATATCCAAATGGCCCGGCCAAGGCAGAAAAGGTGGAGGGAAACGTGGATGCGCCGATGGGGAGCCGCGCGGCAAATGGCGGTGGAGCTTCAGCCATCAACAACACTATCTTTATGGCCCAAACTATTATCTGCTCGCTGCAGTGCCGCCCATCGTCGGGCCAGTCAGCTTTCTCTTCTCCCTACGATCTACAGATAGTTGATGTTTCCACCCGCTGTTGCATGCTCATCTCCCCGGTTACAAGCATTGCATTGTTATTCGCACACTAGTTATCAGAATTGAATTCATCGTCGGTTCCATCACTGTCCGCCCAATCCTGGATCCGACTGAACACACAGCAAACAGTAATCGCATTCAACAAACACACTCTGCTACAGAAGCACACCGCAGTAGCACCGTAACATCAGCCAGAAGACGACACATTAGTGGTATGTACCCGAATTCGGTTCCCCCGTAAAAGTACACAGTACAAACACAAGAGATATTGCTACACAAGAAGATCAAACCCCACCCCGCGCGCCCCCCAATTCAAAAAGAATAATGGACAACACAAACCATCAACTCATATCAATCACAACTTCTCCGAGAACCTCGATTCCCGCCCAGTCCCGCTGCTCGCTCGCTTTGCCCGAACGGTTGGAACAGACAGGCCTTGTTCCGCCGCACTCGCCCGCCGTTCCTCCGTCTCCACCCCCGGAGTGGGGATGGCCTGCGAGCTTCGACGAGCAATATCATTGCTGCCAATCCCTTCAGTCTTACCCTCCGACGAGCTCTTGGAAACAATCTTCTTGAACCCACTTACGAGACGACTGCGCCTATCTCCAGCGGATTCCTGACCTGCCTGGCTGACAGCTTCCTTCTCATCCTGGCCTTCGCTGACTGACATCCTGTTACTCATAACGCGAAGGTCGTTGGCCGTCACAGGATGAGATCGAAGCGCTGCTCCTCGCGAGTCATCCTCGGCAGCTGCCTGTTCAGATTCTTCAGGGACAACAGGAGCAGCCGGTAGTTCCGGAACTTCGGGTTCCTTCTCTTCTGGATGAGCAATATCCCAAGCTCGCCCGTCTTCGTCTTCAGATTTCTGCACTGGCTCAGCTCTTGAGATCTCTCGAGCTTCCTGTGTTTGCTCCCTCTCAGCTGCCTGGGGCTCCGGCAGTTGTTCCGTCTCTTCGACGGCCCGGGTCTCTGGCTGCTGCCCCGTGGCTTCAACTACCCGGGTCTCTGGTTGCTGTTCTGCCGTTTCACTCACCTGAGCCTCTGGCTGTTCTGCAGCTGGCCCTGGTTCCATTGAAGGGACCACTTCCAGAGTGTCCTTGCCTGACTTCGTAGCCTCGCCTGCTGCAGGTCCACTCGGACGACGGCCTAGTCGACCCTTGAACCATGATCTCAGCTTCGACTCGGACTTGGAGATGGCCTCGCCGGGAGCAGTCTCCGTAACAGCGCCTGCAGTTGTCCCCTGAGCACCCTCCGTGGACGTCTGTTGCGGCGCAGTCTCAGCGCGTGCCTCATCTGCTGCTCCGTCAACAGCCCCAGTTAACGTATAGGTTTCGTTCTCGGAAGTGCGCTTCGACTTGCGGCTCCACAAACGGGCTTTCTCCTCTTTGTACTTGGAGTCGGTCCTCAAAGAAGCTATTGTAAATCATTAGTCTTTGTCTCCAAAAGTATCAATAGGCAAGACAACTCACCTCTCATGCGTCTCTCCTCTGCCCTTGTGTCGGCATCTCGCTCGCGTTGGATGGCTTCTCGTCTCTCAGCCTCTTCCTGATCAAGACGCTGCTCTATCTCCCTAGCTCGCTTCGCTTCCGCACGGTCCGTAATTTCATCAAACGTGGGTTGCAACCGGGAACGAGCGAGAGCCTCCACATCTGCCATGTCGACGTATTTCTGGGAGCTGATATTCACGCGGTCGGCGAACTGGTACTGCGCGTCCGTCTCCTGTCTCTCCTTTGCGCGAAGTAAGGCGGTTTCCTCCAGTTCCTTCTGCATGGCGGCTGGGGCGCGCCCAGTCTCTGCATAAACACGCATCTCCATGTCTTGGATGGTAGCATCGACATTTCTTCTCGCAGCCTCCATCAGGAGCGCGCGGTCCTTTTCTCTGCGCTCATCCACCGCATCGAGCTTTGTTCGCAGACTATACATCTGGCTTCTGATCTCCTTCGACCTCTCTGCGTCAACCGAAGAAGCATCACTGTCAATTGATAGCCTTCGTCTGCGGACCTGTAAGCTAGAGCGCGTTGTCTGGGGCTCGATTCCGTAGTATTCGCGGTAGATGGCCGCCTCATCCTGCATGCTGGCCAACTTCTCCGCCGCCCGCTTCTCTGCGGCATCTTGTAAGCTAAAAGCCTGTTGCAAGATCATCGGCTCTGCTCCCGTCGCTGTCCGTTGGGAGCGCATGCGACTGGGGCTGATGGGGCCCTGATCCTTGACCTCAACAACCGCATACATGTCACGCGCCATAGAGACTGCTGCAGCCTGCAGGATGCTCTTTCGCTTGTATTCGTCGAGCTCTGGTGCGACGGGAGGGGTAGCGGTGTAAAGCCGCGCATTGGTGTTGGCAATATGCTGGATCCTACTAGCTTCCATGGCGTTGTCGAGATCTCCAAGGACTTCGCCCGCCTCCATTCCCATGTGAGGCGCCTCTGACGGGGCGGAGTCGGCTCTCCTTCGGTTAGCATATAAAGCACCCGTTACCGCATAACGCGTCCTATCTCGGCCTGTTGTACCAGAACGTGATTCGACCGTCTGACCAGCTCCGAACGAGTCATACTTGAGGTCTGACGGCCCAGTGGAAGAGCTGACGATCGACCGACGGTCCCTGAGAACGAAGGCCGCAGCCTTGTAGCCTTCCAGGCTTGGTACATCGGATGCGCGCTTGTCTTCCACATGCTGTGTTGTAGCTGCACCTTTTGTCCCCCATCCTTTGGATTGGGCGTGAGCGAGAGCGGCTACTGCAGATGCATGGCTAAATCCGGGGCGGGAGCCTGTCGCCTTCAAGGCTAGGGAACAGACGGACAGTCAGTAATTTGGGGGGATTGGTCCTATGGTAGAGTGAATACGAATAAGCAAAATTGATACTTACTGGCTAGTTCAGTTTCAGCTGTGGAGGGCTCACGAACTGATAATTTCCGTTCTGGATGGGTTACATAGAGAGCAGCTGTCGCAGCTGTGCATGGTGTTGTGTTAGCTGTGGATTCGCGTCTCGGTATACAAAGTAGAGTGGGACATTAGGACGCATGAGATCATCGATCATAGCAGCGTGGAGATATGGTAAAGTAGGGTAGGGATGTGAAACAGGCTAACAGGGCACAGGGCCGATCAGGAGCCCAGGATGCAAGGACGCAGATCGTAACTCACCTTGATCCGCTAAGCGGGCAGACCGGGAGCGGCCGAGGGTAATGCGTTCGACGGGCGCGGGTTGTTCAAGGGTGGTTGCCATGATAAGATAACGACGATCGTCTACAGGGTAGAAGAAGGCGAGGCATTCCTGACGAAGAGGAGATGGGTGGAGGAGAAGGGGAGGAAAAAAGGAGGAGAAAAGGTAGGGATTGGGAAAGGTTAAAGGGTAGGCAGCAAAAGGGAAGAAACGTTAAAAGGTGGGTGTTGTAAGAAGGGGGAGGGGATAAAGTTGATGACGCCGATGATGCTGTGGGTAGAGTTTCATGAGGTGGTAGTAGTAGTAAAAGAACTGTAAGTTGCTGCTTAGTTAGTCCGGTTTACTTAGGCAGAAAAAGGGAAGGAACGACTGCACACGCTGATTGGGGAAAAAACAGAGCAAGAGCTAGAACTAGAGAGGAAGAGTGGAAGGAAGCTGAGAAGGGAAGGTGCGAGTGACATCAGGGCCGGGAGCTGATGTCATGATGAACTGAACAGACCCGAAAATGGTTGCATTTCTTGCTTCTTCCGGGGGGTGCCTGGCAGCTCTTGTCATCGACTTTTTGACTCTTCTGCAGTTCCTTCATTCAGCCTTATTCCATGGTTCCAGTTCTTCACTAGTGGGATGGTGAAGAACTTTAAATATCTACATCTACAACCAGATAGCACAAAACAAGTCTGACGAACATTATTCCCACGGTGGAGGATGCTTAGGCACTCATACACTCATGCACTGTCTGGTAACGACAACCACCATGCATCCCATCCACCTCTCCACCCACTCACTAGCTAGTCTAGACTTGCACACGCAAGCACCAAATCTGGGTCTGTGTAACAACTAGACCCGGAGCCTTTCAGATCCAGTCCCGCCTAATCACTTTTAGTGTTGAAACTAAATGCCATAGCCATTGTTATAACTGGTGGTCCGGATGAATTGCGCGCGGACCCGGGGTCATGTCATCATGGCAGTGCCTGCCTTGCTCGTGCTATTCGCTATACCCCAGGGTTGATAATATCGCAGGGCTCTTAAAGATGCACGTTCCCCCCCGCAGCCCAAGGGATTAAGTATTGTTGAAGTTATCTAAACTAGTCTCAAGTCATTCGTTTACGAACCCCTCTTTCTCACCCTCTCTTCCCCTCCCTCTCTCACCTTCACATCTCGTATTCCTCATCCTCCTAATTCCTGTTCCCCAATAAATATAGCTACTAGCCTACCAGGCTTCAGTTGTATACCTACACCTTACTACACCTCCGCCACACCATAAACAAACAGAAACCCACCCACACCACCACCACCACCATGTTCTGGTTCTCTTCCCACCAACAACAACAGCAACAGCAACAACCTCCTCTCCTCCCAACCCTCCCCACCTCGAAATCCAAAATCCGTAGAACCCTCAAAGCCCCCGGCCGCCCCATCGCCATTCGCAAAGACCACATTACCGACACCAAGACCCTCCTAATTGTGCGTCCTCAAGGCGATGCCCAATCCGCCGTGGCATACAAAATCCAAGATGCCGACGGCATGACGCTCTACACCGCTACGGGGCGCAAGTTCAGCAACCGACCTTGTCGCGAGTTCCGCGATGCGTCGGGCCTCCCACTCTTCGAACTACACCGCAAGACTTCTTTCAAGAACAACTGGTCCGTCACCTTACCCGGCAGTAACCCAACTAGTCCGATAGCCAAAAGTGCTGTCCAGCGCTCATCCTTCAGTGCCGCCGGCTGGGGGAACTGCAATTTCACCATCACGTTCGACAATGTAGCCGCGGCGGATGGGAAGCAGCCTGAGGAGCGTACCCTGACATTGGAAGTGCAACGGCATGGGAATGTGCTGGCGCTGTTTGATATCGTGGATGGGGATCGCAAGATTGCCGAGGTGAAGGAGAGTATTCGCCATAATGAGAAATTGGCGCTTATGCCTGCGTCTCGCCTTGGGTATCGCCCTGTACTGGATGTGATTGTTACTCCCGGCGTGGATATGGCTTTGGTGAGTTTACCTATCTTTCTGTTTTCCATAGAGTATATATACTGCATAATACTACATACAGTATCTATACAGTCTACAGAATTATGTTCTAACTAACTGGGGATTTTCTAGATTGCAACGATTGCGGTCATTGCATCGGACACAGTGTTTGCTTCGAACTATTAATTGCGCGCATGTTTTTTTTGGGGACTCTGGATATGTCGGAACGCCATTATGGTTACCATGAGATTATGAAACTGACGACTCTCTTTCTGTCTATTCTTCTTTTCTCTTCTTTTTTCTTTTATCGCTCTTGTTTTCCTCTTTTTTTCCATCGGTTGTGGGTACTTAGGTGGCTCGCTGGGCTGCGTTGAACCGCGGTTGACGGATTCCAGGCGTTTGGATGGCTTCCGGAGCTTCCCCAATGCTACCTTACTCTACCACTTCATCAGTGGATCCATCCATGGGTTTACTGTGGTTCTACTTGCTTGGCTAATTCAATAATGTCCGGAGAGGTCACGCGGGACGAGTCCTTCCAGCCTCGGGAGTCTTCGGGTATTGTTTTGTTTACTTTTGTTTTCTTTTTTCTTTTCTAAACTTGCAGTCGAGCTAAAAAATGTATATAGTTGCGATCGCTGAAAGTTATTGTCAAATCTAATGAGGGGTATTCTTAACAAGGGAGAGAAAAGAAGCAAATAATCGAAGATCGTCATCCGTAGATCGTGTACCTTCACCGCAAGTGCAGCATCTTCAAAATATCATAGCGGCTGAAGAATGAGCGATTCCATTTACCGAAAATATCTAAAATAAAAAAAAACACGTTAGTCCCTCCCCGGGCGAGTAGGAATAACAGCAAGAAACACCTACACATCGGAATGCTCAAGGCACAGACTCCCATCTGAATGCTAGAAATGGCCAAGAAAGCCGGCCTAATGCCATTCAGCAGCAGCCAGTCATAAGCATAGAACGTCAACACAAAGCTGAACATGTTCTTGAACACCAGCATGCATGTAAAAGACTCGATGGCAATCTCGCCTGTTGGAGGCGTCAGCTTTGAACCATAATAGATCCCGCATCTGACAGCTATACTTACGATGTGCATCGACAATGTACAGCGCACTCGCGACAGCGCCCATCACCATGCCTATAATAACCAGAGCGAAGAACACGTCCGCCACCAGCCATCCGTATCGAGCGACATCCTCAGCGATGATACCAAACCCATACAGCCCGGCGCCGCAGAAGATCAACTGGAAGATCACGAGGAGGATGCGGAACTCCGGCTCGTACTTCCCTCGGTTGAGTTTAATCATGATGCGGTTCATCGAATCGGAGAGAAGGCCCGATAGGATCAGACCCAGTATGGAACCGATGAAGGCCCCCGTGTACAGGTACCCGGTTTGCACCTCGTTGAACCATAGGGGTGGGCCGAGAAATATGGCGGCTAGGACGACACCGATGAATACGGTCCATCCAATGATTACGCCCTGGATCAAGCATGCCTGGTATGATGGTTTAAAACGTAAGCTTGTGGCTTGATGAGGCTTTCTGCGGCATGGCTTACCCAAAGGATTGCGGGGTGGAAGAATAAGGGAAAGGGCCGTAAGAGGAGCTTGAAGAAGCTCTCGTCGGTTTTGCGTCCATTAAAGGGTTTGAGAGTTTGGAGATAGGACACCTTGGCTGGTGTTGCTGACTCTCTCTTTCGGGGTAGCTCTTGTGAGGACGTAGGTTGGTGATGCTCGACTGCGGATGAGGTCTGCTTTTGATTGTCGGGCCCTGGAGTAGCCTCCGACGTTGCGATATCATTGAGCTGGACTTCCGAGGCGGAGCGATCGTTGGCATATTCGAATTCAGCGTTCAAGTAGTCCGGTCGCCTGAAAGCTGTCTCGGGGACAAAGAAGAATGTGAGAGGTAGTGCTGCCGCCGCGAAAATGGCTACCAGGTAGAAAGTCCAGTCCCATCCAAGGGTATGTGTGATTTTGCCCGCCAGTACTGGCGTAAGAAAGGCTGCACCAAAGAGAGCAACGTTGGACAGTGCCATCCTTTTGCCTCGTTCCTGTTTGCTTGATCAGCATGTGCTTGTGAGGTTCGTGAGATGCGGTTTATACTCACGTGCACGTAGAACAAGTCACCGACACATGCATTGACCAGAGCTTCGAATGGAGCAAGAGCAATCCCCTGGAAAATACGAGCCCATAACAGACTCTGGTAGTTGTGCTTACTGCCCCCAGCCCAGGCACAGCTCACTACCATCAAGGCATTTCCGAGCAGGAAGAGGTGACGCTTTCCCCAAACTCGTGCTGTAGGTACAATCAAGATCCCAGCCACTCCAACACCACAGAGGTGGTACCCAGTTAGAAGCGCGACTGAGGTGAAGCTCTTGCCATAGTAAAGAGCAATTGTTACGGTGTTGGCAGCCATCAGCGAGCTTGTCGTTGCGCAAAGCACCGCGACAAAAGACAGAACCAGAAGCGTGACATCGCGCTTCCAGAGTGGCCAGTTCTTGTTTCGAGATTGTCAGCTATTGCCCATGTAGCTCGTAGCTCCTCAAGAGTGACTTCAACACACCAATGGATCGTTGGGATCATCGCTTGGCTGAGGGACAAGTAGGATGGGTACAGAGCCCGACCGATCGTATTTTAAATGCGAGTCGATGACTGGCTCATTGTTGGAGTGCCTTCGCTCAAGTATGTCCGTGGTCCCTATTTCAGAAGCAGTGTTCAGTGTATTCTGCAGAGACAAGCATAGTTGTGCATGAGATGGCTCCTACCTGGTACATGAGGGCGCTTGGTATCCAACACGCCAAGCCCCATGGTATTATTTATTCGTAGCCAAGCAGATACAGTAAGAAACCAGAGCCAACAGTCACCGGCTAAGGTGGAATCAACCGAAAGATAGTACAAGGAAGCCTATTGTTGATGGTCGGACGCCTAGACTCCTCCGGCTGGGGACTCTGGAAGGCGAAATCAAGGTCCCACGAGGATCACGCGGGGAAGTCGTTATGCAAAGTGTTCACAATTGAAGTATTCCTAGACGAGGGAATACAGTTTGCGGGGAATTTCTGCCTTCCAGAAATTCGTACATGATGGGTGTCCCGAGCGGACATTCTCGTTCTGCAAGGGCGGTGGTAGTAATGAATAATTTCAAACCCTAGTTCGTGTATATCATCAAGAACCAAATTGGTGGGCGCGGGTGAGGAGGCCCCGGGTTAATTTACTACTGGCTATGAAAGAATGAATAGTCTAGTCTCTATTTCTAACGGGGGCGGCCAGACGCAAACTTGGATCGTGGACCCCAGCCTTCTGATCATCTTTCTGAAAGTACTTGTCTGGAGGATGTCGATCGGATGAGGTAGTGTAACTCAAAGGGACAACTCATTTATCAGACACGGCAAGTCTATCATACCTAATAACTCATACCAATCATGTGTAATTTCGTCTTATTGGACATCAGGGTGATACACAAAGAGACACTAGCACATCTTGCAAATTCTTGGAGGTCGAATCAAGCCTACACCTTACAAGGTGTACGCTGAGAGAAACTTTATATTGGCTAATAAGCGCCACACAATCCTTCCGCAGTGATCAGCCATGTTCACATCGAAGCCCTCCTCGGGTGCTCATGCATGCATGCATAATCCGAGGCTGCAAGCAAATGGGGAGACATTCATTTCAAGACTGAAACATGGCCCCGATGCCCACCCAGATTGAAATGCAAGGGATACTGATCAGGGCCAGAAGACCACCTGAAATGAACACTGCCTGCATGTTGGGGCCTCGAAAGTTTGACAAGTCCAGCTGAAATCTCCAACTTACCAAGTAACCCTGGCTGGAAGATCAACAATTGGCTCGGGGGATCTTCATACACGATTGGGCGATCCGTTAGACTACCTTTCTAGTGGCGGGCAAAGTGGGCTCCTCCCCTCCTGGAGGTGGCTCGTACTTTAGACATAAGAGTAGATAGATATCTTGGTTTCTGTCCAACTTCAGTGATTACTTCGGTGCACTGGCATGCATAACTACATTCCTCTGGGGTTCCGACGATGGTCTCATGAACCATTGTTTTCCTTACCCATTTGGTCACCTCCCTTTATCCTCTGCTGCCAGTCAATGGCATGGGCAGCAACCTAGCAGTAAGTACGAAGTAGTACGAAGTAGTACAAAATTTCCAGTGTTGTCATTATGTATAACAAGCGGATTGGCCATCCGCCATCGGAGCAAAACCCACCAGGGATACTTTCTGGGGCCCGCTTAGGTACAACCTAAAATTATAGATAGCCCTTGAATTCGTTCCAAGTATCCTATTATCTCCTCACATGATGAGCATAACAACGGACATCCTCTCTTTTTGATGAACTAGGAGCACTTTCCTTGGACAGGTTTCATCGATATAGATACTAAGTGTAGCAGTAATTGGTAGTGGTTCTAGCTGAAGTCTCCAAAGGCAAGGAGCTTTAGATACGCAACAAAATTATACTAAGACAGACCCCTTGGCTATGGATCACTTCTGGAGTGCCTTCCAAGGCAGGAAAGGAAGTGAGGTGAATACTGTTGGCTCGACCCCAATCGTTCCTTCTTCACTTGATTCATATGTCACATTCCCTCCACTTCCACCACTTTGTCTACTTCTTGCTTCTTCTCCCCTTCTCCCACTTTGTTCTCCCCTCGCCATCTTTCGAACCCCCAAGTCGTCTTTCCATCAACCAACATCTCTCTATCCCATTTCATAACCCGCTAGTCAACCTCCAAAGACATTATGAAGCTCTACCACGTTAGCTTGGCTCTTTTCGCTGGCCTGGGCTTGGTAGCTGGCCAGGGGATGGACAGCCTTCCACCCTGCGCGGTAAGTCCCAGTTACGACAACTTGTCTGCCTGAGTATTGCTGGTTCTATGTAGCTGAACCGATTCCAGAGAGACTGCGCCACCGGTTCTATCCCCAAAACTTGCAAGGCCATTGATGTGAACTGCATCTGCTCCGACAGGTCCTTCATCACTGGTATTTCCTGCTGCGTTGCTTCTACGTGCTCTGCGGAGGATCAGACCTGTATGTCCAATCTTCCTCTCCCAAAATCCTCTCCCCTTATCTGGCCGTGTGGTACATGGCGTCGGCTCGGCTATAATGACGGCTTCTAATGGGTCAATCGTGTTCCAGCTGCCCTCAATTTCGCACAGCAGATCTGCGGTGGCGCCGGCGTAACTGATCTCCCCCAAAGCGCCAGTTGCACAAGTGGAAACACCGCGAGTGCTACTTTGCAGACCACGGGCACAACGACTGGTGCTTCTCCGACTACTACCTCGACTGGTGCAGCTAACGGAACCCGCCTCGACTCATCCAGCTCTGCCAGTGCGGCGAATGCTACCAAAACGGAAAGCAACACTCAGTCTGTGAAAACGCAGGGCGCTACTGCAACTGATAAGAATGCCGCAAGTAATGCGACTGCTAGCAGTGCGGCTGGTATTATCCTGGGAGATAGCAGTGCCGGCCTTGCTGCGATCCTCGGGGCAGCCTTTTATGCATTGCTTCTTTAGAGGGCACCGGAAAACGGGTCACCTGATGGTGCTACGAGTGATGATCGTTGAGAGCAAAAGTGGTTCTGTCCTATGTTCAGGGCGGCAGAATAGTGTCCTACAAATAATCGCCTTGCACTAAGGCTGGCTAAATTGAACTGGACCAGCGCAGTTGACTGTAATATGGTTATTAGTTTGTATGATAGGATCGGAATCAAGGTCACAGTGTCTTTCGCCGCAGTGGTTGCTGTATTGCCTACAAATAGAGATGTATACTCGGTAGTGCGAGGGTCATGCCGACTGCATGAATTCGTCTACCGGTCCTGTTCCACGAACCGGTTAGCTGCTTCCTGTCGCTCTTCCCTGAGGGTGATGAAGATCTATCAATTGTCAGCAAATCATGACACTGGCATACCCGCCAGAGCTTTCTCTGGGGAGCAATCGTAGGGGCGGGGGGGGGGGGGGAAGCTTACCCATAACCAAAACATCATTTCCATAAAGCCATATGTGAATACTACTCTGTTTTTCAGCTGATCCAGTCCCGATGTAGGGGCACCGGCAGTGCCGTAGTTCCCCATTCCGGTAGTGGCATCCATTCCCCACGCCGATGGTTGACTCTGGTATATGAAAAAAGAAACCGCAAAGAAGATACAGAAACGCGCGGCGGAAAGGAGGGTCCAGATCTCCGAGTAGAGCGAGGTCAAGCGTGCCATGAAGGGGTTCGTGCGTACAGCCCCTGCCACTGGTATAGGTGATTGCACTCTAGCGGCCTGAGCCATGGCCAGGATCTCGTTAATTTGCGGGACCTTGGTCACAAGAATGAGGTCGACCAGGGCATCGACGACGAGGAGGACACCACATAGGGCGAAAGGGGACTGAGGTCGGGAGATACTAGGGGTCGCCTCCTGAATTGATTGAATGAGATATTTAGTAAATCGACGGGGGGTATCAAGGGGGCGAATGAAGATGTAATATATAAACATACCAGATTCAAAAACTCCCCCAGCATGAAGACGAGGTCAGACTCGGTCACGACCTCTGGCGACCTGGTCAGGTACACGGCCAGCACAAACAGGAACAAGGCATGTGCCTGGATCAAGGTCTTGGAGGAAAGGAGAGCCATGCTGGGATTGATTAAATGGCTGTAACGGGCAGCTAGCTAGGATTTTCTGGTGTAACACATGCGTTAATTGTATCACGGGCGGGTTGCAGAGAGTATTCGAGAGGTTGAGCTCTGCCAGCTGTCTCAATTGAAAACAACAAGGAACATTGCTTCGACCGATGGGATTAGAATTGGGGAACGAGGAATGGATTTCCCCGGCGGCCGAGTGGGGCTGGACTTTTGGCAGCCTCCGATCGAGATGGAGAAGAGCAGGCCGGGAATGCGCAAGACCAACAATTAGCGGAAGCCCACCCCCTCTCAAAGAAAAGCAATCTGTCGGCTTATTCGGAGGAGGCTACTGTCCCCTTTCTCTCCTGGTGCACACTCTCTATACCTCTATACTAACCTACATTATATGGCCAGAGCTCCGCACGGGGAGAAGTTGGTATTATTATCGCGGGCACTGACATCATGACCGACGTCCCAGTCACCTTTACCAAAGAACGACACATCAAGTATTTCCTACGATGTCTCAAAACCTTCCTTCCCAGCCTATACACCTCCAATGACTCCAATCGCATGCTTCTCGCCTTTTTCACGGTCGCCGGCTTAGACCTCCTCGGCGTCTTGCAGAGCAAAACCACCCCCGAAGAGCGACAAGGCTACATCGACTGGATTTACCACTGCCAGGTTCCTACGGGCGGATTTCGAGCCTTCACCGGAACAGATTTTGGCGCGGAGAATCGGACATCGGATAATGAAGCTTGGGATCCGGCAAATGTACCTTCTACCTTCTTTGCGCTGGAGCTCCTTATCATCCTGGGCGATGATTTATCGCGAGTGAAGCGGAAGGAGTGTCTACAATGGCTGCCGCGCATGCAGCGTGGTAATGGAAGCTTTGGAGAGGTGCTGGGTCCGGGAGGGAAGATTGAAGGTGGTGGTGATCTCCGCTTTTGCTGCTTTGCGGCAGGCACGCGGTATATTCTGCGGGGGAATGGCGGGGCAGATGTGGATGGCATCAAGGACATTGATGTGGACAAGCTGGCCGCGTTTGTTCAGGCATGTCAAGTAAGTGACCTGCACTCTTTGACTCCGTATAATCTGAATACGTGACATATTCTGAGATGCATTATTCCAGGCATATGATGGCGGTATGGGTGAAGCACCCTTTTGTGAAGCGCATTGTATGTTCTATCCAAATTGCTCACTCTGCTTAGGATTGGGACCCCCTCCTCCCCACCTCTTTTTCTTAGTGTTACAGAATGGCAGCTTACTCGTATACCCCCGCAGCCGGTCATACATATTGCGCAATGGGCGCCTTGACGTTCTTAAGTCGTATGGCAAAGGATCAGAAGCCACCGCCAGTCCTTTCGCCAGGCGCGAAAGATTTCGAGTCCTTGGTTCGTTGGCTCGTTGCCAGACAAACGACAGAACTTGGCGACACAGAGGAGGACTCTGACGATGATAACAGCCCTGAGATGAATGAGGTTCCGAAACCGGTACCGGAGGCTGTTGAAGAAGTAAGCTTAGATGAGAGCCTCGATAAGCTCCCCGCTATACCGCCACCAACGGAACAGGATCTACGATGTGCAGGCTTCAATGGGCGATGTAATAAGTATGCTGATACATGTTACTCATTCTGGAACCTGGCAACATTAGATGTAAGCAGTCACAGTTTGTGTGAGAGAGTGACATTACTGATCCGATCGTTGGTGGACAGATGATGAATAGGTTAGACCTCGTGGACGCAAGTCGGAATCGGCAATATCTTCTCGGAAAAACGCAACATATCATCGGCGGTTTTGGAAAGGGTGTGGGCGAGCCACCAGGTTGGTACCCTTGGAGGTGTTCATTTATGTCTGGTAATTTCCTCGCTGACTGACCATTACAGATCTCCTCCATTCCTACTTTGGGATGGTCGCCCTCGCGTTCCAGGGAGAGGAAGGGCTAGATGGGGTTGATCCAGCGCTGTGTATGAGCCATCGGGCCGTGCAGCAACTACAGTCTCTCCCTTGGTGGAAAGAAGGGGTTTGAAGTGATGGGTTAATTGAATAGGGTCGGAAGCTTTGGGTCTCGAGTCTCGGTGAGATGGAACTTTTCAGTCATATACCCCAACCATGCTGAATGAATTGATTGTTTATATACACAACAGTAATGAGCCAACTTGAAGTTACTGTACTTGTGTATCTTCTAGCCTTTACTCTGTACATAAGGTGACCCCCCTTCCCATATCGGGTTATTTTGACCTATAGGACTAGTATGTCACAGATGTGATGCAGTCATCGTATGATGTGATGACTGATTTCCAGTACTTTCTATGACAACTTATTCAATCTCTGAAGTGACAGGCCCGTGAAACAAGATGGACAATCCATACCAGATACGTGTGGTAGGGGCGTTTACTAGAGGAAACTAGGGAGGCATGTCATAAGCGAAGACCCTATCAGAGCTTTAAGTGTCGACTTATTCTTAACCTGTCAAAGTAATCAGGGGGTCGGATTTGCCGGGAGTTAATTAGTTAGGTAGGGACCGCCGCGCAAGGTTGACTAAAAGCGATGACGATGTTGATTGAAAACGGCTGTTAAGTTAGGGAATTTCAGGGGCTGCTGGCTGACTAGACTACAGTAATGATGCTAGCTACTACAAGTAGTTATGATGTTATAATCCACATATGCCCCCAATTACTGCTTCTTTTCCTTCCTGTAACGGGAAGCAAGGCCGGGATCGATGACATCGGCCTTTCGGAACGGCGGACAGAACGGTACAGAGTACTTTGCATAGTTATGCTAATCGGAGAGGGGGGGGTAAGGGGATAATTACAAAGTACTATTTTGACTATCGAGGAAAGAAAAAATCTCGAAGGATCAGGAGTAATCTTAATTCTCCTGGGTAGGAAGTCTTATTTTTTTAACTCCGTAGTAAAATCCCATGATATAATTTGGTAAGAACAAATAGTAATGGAAAATGAGATAGTAATAGAGGATACGCAAAGCCAGTCTCAAAGGTGCCTGAACGCAATGACAGAAACGGCCCACGTTCCCACCGGCTAAAATGTGGCCGGGCGGCTAAGAGTAATTAATTAACAGTGAATAAAATACTAGTATGGATGCGAAGATGGAAGGGGAAGAAATAGAAATAGAAATAGAAATCGTGGGTTTGACATTTCATAATAAATATTGAAATTACTATTATTGTTGGAAATGGGTTTCGGGAGGTTTTTATGGGGAAAGGAGGAAGGGGAGAAAAGAAACAAACAATAATAATAATCATTCCAGTGTACGTAGAATAGTTACTGTTAGTTAGTATCCTTCTTACACTTCTTTCAGCATCATTGTCACATTCTATACTTTTGTTCAATCACACTCATTTTAATTAGCCAGTATATTGTTTTGAGGACCACAATTTTATCTGCTCATCATCATCACAATCATCATCATTGTTCACTCCACTCCACCCACCCACCCACACACAGACAGACGTAGTGAGTCTCCTCCCTCTCTCTCTCTCCCCTGGGCTCATGCACGCCCCTGCCGGCTGTCGTCAGTCCCCCCCCCAACTCCGTCCTTGCCAGGCTCTCCTAACCCAGTCCTCCTACTACTTTTACTACCAAGACTACTACTATTATTATCATCGTTCCTTTCCTTTTCTTTACCCCCTCCATCACCCTCAACTTCCTGCTCGCTTGCTGGTCGGCTGGCTAGAGAATTTGAGGCGTGCTTTTTAAGTACTTTGATTGCTTGCTTGTCTGCTGGCTAGCTGGCTGGCTTGGCTGCTGCTTCTATTGAAATTGCCCAGCACCTGTCGTCATTTAATCCCGGATTTATTGTTTCCATCCCATCGCTGTACAGATTGCCCCTCAAGCTACGGGCCCTGCCTTACTACGAACTAATCATCATCAACCTTACTGAGTTTGTCTGGCTGGTATGTGTTTGCTTTCTTTTCCAGAACATCCCCCTCCCCCGGCTCTCTCCATCGCTTTCTCTTCTCTCTCCTTCATCCACTCCCGCACTTTTGTTTGCAGCTTGTCGCTACAGAACCACATACCTTCCTGAAACAACACTAACGTTCGCTGGATCTGTTACTATCTAGCTTAGTGTATCATCCCTTATCAGCCTCCCCTACTCTGCCCGTTCCTTCTCCGAATTATTGCGGTTCCGAGCTTTCCACACACCTGCCGACTACTAGCTACTAGATAGCTACCACCACCGACTTGCGCGCCCATCCTACGTTCCCTCGTGCCTCAAATTTCATTCGGGCTATCCGCCCTCATTCCTTTTGTCACAGATTAGACAGTCATCATATACTCTTGTATTTCGTCGGCTATTCCGAACAATCGCCTCCTTGATACCTTCCACTCCTTCTCACCCACGTCGGCGTCGATTTGCGATCTCCTGGAACCCCCACCCCATACAACCGGAGCGACAGCGGCCTTCGGTTCACTCTCTATACACTCCTCCCTACGTTGGATGGCCACCCTTGACAACTTAGTACCACTCCAATCCTGCACAGAACCGCTTCAGACACGCATACTTCATCTCCGCGGACTTTCCCCAGGCAGGCGGAGATAATCTTAACACATGCCACCTCCGAGGACGAGAGCGGAGGTCCAGGCCCAGAAACAAAAAGAGAAGGTGCGTCTCGGCTATTCGATTTCCAAGTGTGGAGGTCGAAGATCCTCTGCAATGCGCATGTCCTATTTTTCGCCATCTCTCTTTTCTTTCGGGACACATGCAAGACTCCGTCCCCGATCCAGGATCGAATCCCTTTTTCTCTTGTCGTGGTAGATGGCTTAACTGACTGGGATCTTGCGCTATGAACAGCTTGCCCAATCATACAATGCACTGCTGGAGTAAGCAAAACCCCCCAACCTCGCCTTCATCTTCAGCTTGGATGCTAACAATAATCGTCTTCATAGGGAATTCTCTTCAAAGGATCTTCGCACTGTAGGAAACTACACGCTTGGGAGGTTAATTGGGAAGGGTTCCTTTGGCAAAGTATATCTTGCCTCACATAAGCTTACCAATGGCTCCAAGGTACGTCTATGAAAGAGCCCACTACTTATGTGTTAGATAAATCTGACAGGATTGCGCGCAGGTGGTGCTCAAGTCTTCGAGTAAGGAAGACCGAAATCTGGCACGCGAGATCCATCATCACCGCCAGTTCCTCCATCCCCACATTGCCCGCCTATACGAAGTCATTGTGACGGAAAAGCTGGTCTGGCTTGTTCTCGAGTACTGCCCGGGTACGTGGCGAGATGCTGCTGTAGATGTAGTAGGATACCGCTAACTCACTCGAGCAGGTGATGAGCTGTACAACTATCTCCTTCGGCATGGTCCGTTACCGGTAGACAAGGTCAAGCGAATTTTCACGCAACTAGTGGGAGCCGTTGCTTATGTCCATAGCAAATCTTGCGTTCACCGTGATCTCAAGCTAGAGAACATCTTACTCGACAAACATGAGAACGTGAAGCTGTGCGATTTTGGGTTCACTCGCGAATATGAAGGCAAGGCGAGCTACTTGCAGACGTTTTGTGGAACGGTATGCTATAGCGCCCCCGAAATGCTCAAGGGCGAGAAGTATGCTGGCGAGAAGGTGGATGTCTGGAGCTTGGGTATCATTCTTTACGCCCTGCTTGCTGGGGAGTTGCCGTTCGATGATGATGACGACCAAGTAACAAAGGCTCGGATCCTTGGTGAAGAAGCAATTTTCAACGATAAATTTCCCGACGATGCCAAAGCCCTCATCAATTTACTCCTTTCGAAACGGCCCCTTATTCGACCCAGTCTGGACGAGATCCTTGCCCATCCGTTTCTTGCAGAGCATGCTCCCGAACAGTTGGCGATACTCAAGATTCCGCGCCCAGCCGCCTTCTCGACCCCTCTGGAGAGGACCACGCTGCAGCGCATGAAGAGTGCAGGAGTCAACATCGATGAGGTTGTCGAGAGCGTTCTCTCTCAACGCTGTGACCCCCTCGCTGGTTGGTGGGCATTGTTGATCGAAAAGGAGCAGCGAAAAGAGCAGAAGAGGGAGCGTAAACGACGCGAGCGTGAAGCGGAAGCTAAGAATATTCGTCGCTTGAGTGCAGCAAGCAGTCGGCTGGAAAAGATCTCGGCCGCCCTTGTGGAAGTGGACGAAGAGGGCCACGCCGCAGACACTCATCTTCGTGAGCGAGGACGGCGAGACAGACGGAGTCTCCCTTCTCAGCTTGCTGTCCCAGAGTTGCCAATGCTTCCCGAACCGACACCCCTGCAGTCACCAGATTCTAGCACGCCTCCGCCCCCCGTTGACAAAGATTCCATTCGTTCTGCTAGTTCGACCCGGCAGCGTCCCCCACCACCACCGAAGGATCAAGCACGACGGCCGAGCACGTTGCATGTGAGCGCATCGCAGCCTGAATTGGCCCAGCACAACAATGGCATTTTTAGACGCCGCACCAGTCGCCGCCAATACCCGATAATAAGCCAATTGGCCTCGTTGAAACACTGGTTTGTGGAGTCTGCAAAGAGAGCCAAATCTCCTCACGCCAAGGCGGCTGGGGGTCAAGGAGGCCATCGCAAGTTTCTCTCCGAGAAATTGAGCCCGGCCAAGGGCCAGGATACTGGAAAGAAGCCCACTTCGGCATCTGGGGCCACCGCGCACTCTGGTGACTTGTTGACGCCAACACAGATCAAGCGCTCATCGAATGCCAGCAGCTTAGCCCCGAGCAGTGCTTCCTATCCGAACAACCGCCATTCCTACCCTCGCCACAATCGTCCCTTGAGCACTAGCCAGAGAAACTCTCTCTCGCCATCTCCGATCACCCCAAGAGGTTCATACCGGCGGTCCTCCGCAGGTCTGCGTGGTCGCAAGTCCACTTCATCTTCCGTGTCCTCCATCCGCAGCATCCATCATGCCCACAGCCACTCTAAAGCATCGTCCGTTTCTTCAAATAGTATTGGTTCAGCGTCGACCCCAACGGCTCGAATCTCGAAGTCGCCTCACACATCAGTCAAAGTCCTTCCCACGACGCCAAGTGCGTCTGCCCGATTTCCCAGTAATATCCGTCTGGTGCGAGGCACGCAGAACGGTTTCCGTGACATTGATGACCCTAACGGGAGGATCAATAACATGTTCAACGAGGCAGCCCCAGCGCCACTGCTCTACTCCCCTTCGTCAAGCCTCGTCTTTGCACGTCGAAAACGATCCGCTTTCAAGGGGCCTATGGTCCATACAGCTAATTTGATGGTATCGGGTGGAATGA